TTATAATTCAGAATGGAAATATAAATTTTAGCAAGAAATACATATATAATATATTATAATATAAAAGAAAAAATATCCTAATGAAAATATTTGTAATAAATTATAAAAAAATAATATAATGGATCACTACAATATTGAACATATAAATATTAGGATAAGTACATTAAATACAAACTTATAGTATAAAAGAAACCTAATTAAAAACTTGTTTGGGCTGCATATCAATTTGTTCAAAAATTCCATAAATTTGTTGTCCAAAGGCCCGATTAATTTTTTTATCTGAAATGGGTTTTTTACAAAAAGGCCCAATATTTGTACTTGTTATGCATTCAACAGTCAGCATTGTTACACTTGTAACGATCAGACGGACACAAAAATGTTTGGACAGTAAATAAAAGGAAAAAAGTTTGTGTAGGTTATCTCATTTCTCCTCACCCAACGCACCGCCATCTTGAAATTTCTGTTGGATTTACCGACAAAAAAGAATACATATTTCCAAAAAAAAAAAAATCAAATCCCTGCAAATCTTACCAATTTCCATTGAAATAACAAAATTTTCGTAAGATCTATGTTTAATATACATAGATATGTCCGAAATTTTTAACTTTTATCGCCGTTCATGTGGTATTTTCATAACAAACCTCATGCTTCATAGGTTATCGAAAGTGTTTGGGCCGGAAATGAATAATTAAGATATTTCTATGTTCGTCGGCCATCGGATTCCAACAGTAGATGAAGAGCACGAACCAAATCGACCATGATTCGAAGGTATATTTTTTTTTTTACGTTTTTTGTTAAATTGTCAATTAATTTGACTTTGTACTTAATAGATCTGTGTTAGTACGAACTCAAATGTCCAGATCTGTGTAACCTTATAATTGTTTTTTTCAAATTATCAAAAATCTGATAGTACTATAAGCTATATGTCAGATTTAGGTAGATAGGAACAAAAATTTTGAGTTTTACGGACATCTTGTTGAAATGGACAATTAATTAAACGTTTGTACATAACAGAACTTTCATAGAAATTTCACATACCTATCAATCTTTCGTTTTTTTTTTTTTTTTTAAATGTGTGTGTCAGTATAATTTTTGTTCGGTTTTACATGTTCTAATCAATATTTTTCATTTTGTATAATTGTTTGCGAGCATGGTCCAATTTGAAGACCGTTAACGATGAAACATCATAGAAATAGTGAATTTGAGGCCGAACATTCAACAACTTTAAAAT